GTGTGTGTGTGTGTGTGATTGGGTGGGGGTTGGGTGGGCGACCCATCCCCCACCAATCAATCAATAAATCAATCAGTCAGTCGGTCTACTGATAAATCAAAAAAAAAAAAAAAAAATTTGTCTGTTTTGAGTCTGGTTTTGTTTTTGATTTTTTAAAAATAATTTAAATGCTAAAAAAATAAAAATAAAAATATGGGGATGTAGAGAGCAAAACAATCTACACCCCCATATTTTTTTTGTTTTTTTTTTACTTATGTTTTGCCTGCAAAAAAATTATCCGCGGTCCGAGTTGAACCACGTTGTAACGGGGTATAACGTGGAGTTGAAACGAAATTCAACGGGAGTTGAACCGTTCAACTCGAAACCCCCGTTGAACGTAATTTCGGACACACAGTTGACAGATCTCCTTGTCTGAAACCAACGGCACTAGCATACAGATAGCGGAAAGCCTCTTTGCATGATATCTGATTGAGATTAGCCAACACTGACTCGCTGACTTGAAAGGATTCAACTGTACTCATGGGAAACGACTTCAACAGCCCGTCGATCGTCGTTTCTGAATATTGTTCCTGATAAGAACAGTGATGTTCCTGATCGTTGTTCCTGAATACTGTTTTATGATAAGGGTGCTACTTCTTAATACAGATCAGGAGACTGAATGATTGCTGACTTGAAACCCGAGCTGCTGCTGATCAGAAAGTTGTTCAACTACTGATTGAAAAATGTAGAAAGTTGGGTACTGACTGAATGATTGTAGAGTACTGATTACTGAAAATTGATCTCCAGTCTGGTTACTAATTTGATTACAGGTCTGGTTGCAGTTGAGAGCTGACTGATTACTGTTCTGAGAATTGACTGATTGATGTTCTGAGTTCAAGCTGAATGATTGCTGTGAACTGACATTTCCTTGTTGACAACGAACTTTGGAGCGCGTCACTGCCCTCGCTCAAGCTTCGCCCTGGCCTACTCTACCGTCTCTAGGCACGAGCCGGTACTGTGTAACCTCCCGCCACAGTCATAAAAATAGAACACGTATTCTATGAACTTCCTCTCACCTACTATCCTGATGGCATGTTCCCTCTGAGATTGTTTACATGCACCCATATCCCGGCACGCAGCATCCTCCCATCCTACCCTTCTGTCCCTGTTCACTCGGCATTTTATCATCAAGATCTCACTCTCTTTCATGATGCCCTCCCCTTTCTTAAGGCTCGGGCCAAGAATTGGGTAGGCAGCCGATAACGATGATCTTGATTAGAACACTGGGTGTTCACTCCTCCGCAGGTTGTCTGGTGTGAGGCCTAGCTGTGGCCTGCTCTACAGGTGTCGAGGGTTGAACAGAGTAGTCGGCGATTGCCAACAATAGGTTGTTTGCTTGCTGTTCTGAATTCCGATTGTCTGCCAGTCAAGAAGACTGAATGACTACTAATCCGAAGAATTGAATGATTGTTGGATAGTTGATTTGTTGAGGTGGCTGCTGACTGAACACTGCTTGAGATCTACTAGAGTAATAATCATTGTGTCATGATCACACAGTGACTGGAAACAAAGTGCAGTTTCGCTAGCTTGTTATCAAACACCCAAGATACGGTTGTAATACATATCAAACATTGATTGCATATTGTTTGATCTCCGATTAACCATGACTGACAAACTGATTGAGGGACTGATTATATTGTTATTTAATTATTACCAAAAACACCGAGTCCGACTCACGGGTAACTGCGCTGAATACCGTTCACAGATAACAGAGTTGAGCCCCTTTTCTTTGCCGAACACTGCTCTCTGCGTTGACAGGTTTACCAGACCAATCCTGTTTCTGGATATTACTCTGAGTGCCGCTTACGTGTCCCTGCAAATACTAAGTCCCAACAGACTAGTTAATCACGTCACAAGAGGTCTTATCATGACTCTCACCTCTATACCAACTGTTGTTCTCAAAACAAGTGTGCACATCAGTTCAGCCCTACGGAGTTCTTTCGGCTCTGGACAACTGCTTCCCTGATCAGAAATGACACATTGTGAGCAGAATGGATGTTGCTTGCGTGCCTGAAAGACTCAGATGATCGGCCCTGGGGTACAAGAGTGCCAAGTGTTGAGCTACCCCCGATTACTCCATGTTTTGCCCTGTTCTGCCTAAGGGGGATAAAGGGTCGTTCTTGAATGAAGGGCAAAGGTTTTCTCCCATGTTCAGACGCCACGCATTATAGTAATGAAAATAGTGGGCACTGTACTTTTATGCAGTTTCAGCCTTCATTACATGTCAGACCAAGACCTACCAAGACTGCCTTCCTTCCGGCAACAGGGATAGTGCAGGCAGTAATCTTTTCTGAGTGAACTGCATTACATTATCACTGATGGGTTTCCCCTAATTAACTGTAGTTGCACTCATCAGTCCCCATCCAGTAAGTACTTCATCAATGCGTAAGCCACCCTTCGCAACAACGTTTGTTTTTTGCCCATCAACTGTGGTATGGAAAGTGGGGTACTTATGGAGCCGCGTTAGAGCTGCTCTCTTTCTCGAGAACAACTCACTCGTCTTCTCCTCGCAGTGATTGTCAGGCCTATTGAGTCGACAATTCAAAGTTCAGACTCGACTTGGCTCTGTTGGCAATGGGACAAAAACCCTTAGTCCCCGCTATTGTCAATAATCTCTTTTGAGCATCCCAATCTCAAAATTACATCAATCAAGACGTTACACAGAAAGGGGGGAAAAGAAGGGAAATAGCGAGTATTGACTTAGAAACTCAGATCAATGGTAGGCGTAGGTTGGGTGCTCGGATCGAGGGTAAACGCAGTATTACTTGAGACTGATCTCTTAACTCAAGAAAAATTCAAGACCCAACACGCTCGATCGTCACCCCGGAAAACAACTGTTGACTCTCGATGACGGTACAAAGTCACAGTGAACCAACAACTATTTGCGATGTGCATTATCCAAGCTTGCAGAGTGATGACAGGCTAAACTGTCGTCAGACAACTTGAGACGAGCGCGCGAGATAAGATCATCGCGCTTGCTCAGACAAACTCTACCAGATACCAAGGGTAACCACGAAGTTCACAAACATGCCACGACACTTTAGAATTCACTTACCTTATCCTCATTTACTTCCACAACGCTAGAACAAAGCTCACTAGAGAGGTAAAAGAGTGGTAATCAATGTGGTTGAGGCCTCACTTTAACCGCACCCTCTCCCTTGACTGAAGGAGCACAGTGACGAAACGATCAGACGCCACGTGACTTGATGGCCTAATTATCAAACTGCCTATTGCAGTAGTTCCCCTAGAATTAAATAATCATTCTATAGTGAAATTACATTCTAAATTTAAAATTTTCATTCCATCTTAAAAAATGTCATTCCAATTTTAAAATTTTCCGTCTTACTTAAAAACTTTCCTTCCAACAATGGGGTATCCCTTCTTATTTGAACTGCATGCTAGAGATGGAATGAAAGTGTGGACGAGTTCATGAAATATTTTAATTGGAACGTAATTCTAAGTAAGGATTTTCGATCATAAATAGGTTAATCCAATCTCAATTAGAAGATATTTCTTGTAGTAGAATGAAAGTTTAATTAAAACATTTCATAAACTCGTCCAAACTTTCATTCCATCTTGAACAAATAAATATAGTTGGAAGGGAAAGCTCATATATAGACGGGATCTTATCAAATAAAACTGGAAATTTTAGAATTGGACGCACATTGGAATGATAATTTATAAATATGAAGGATTTTTTTTTTATGGAATGTTTTTTCAACTTTCATTTCTCGTGGGAATTTTTCTGTTCCACGCTACTCAGACTAGTCAAGCCCCATACATGAGTCTTACATTACCAGTTTTTCACGCTCTCAATCACTATGGTACAACGTCGCCCATAAGGAGGGTGAAAAGTTATACACTAGGAATTCTCACACTGGCGCATGCACGGGTTCCTCCACTGACAACCGCACCCTCTCCCTTGACTGAAGGAGCACAGTGACGAAACGATAAGACGCCACGTGACTTGATGGCCTAATTATCAAACTGTCTATTGCAGTAGTTCAGTCTGTTGGCGTCATCGTTGACAGCGGTACTCCTCTCTCCCTGACCATACCAGACAACAAACCCTTGCACCATGATGGACTTCCACGACTGGTACGAATGAGACTTACGTGCGCTGTTGCGCTCGAGCCAAAGGTAGTCTGCAACTTCTTGCTGATAAAAACGACGTTACCAAGAACTGCACGATTGCTCTTTTTTGCCTTCTCCTTCCTTGCGAGCAGATCTCAGTTCGTTCTCTGACGGCCTCGGTCTGGTTGCCATGCGCAGGGCTCACTAACCACTCTCACACGCACCGTTTTCACGCTCATGGTCTCGCCGACCCCCAGTGAGTAAGCAGAAGATCAACAGAGAGGATAATAACCACAACGCAATGACACGCTGTCTCCTCTCTCTGTCGAGACGAGATACACCCCTCGAAAATAGGGAGCAGATACCTCTCCCAGGATGGTAGACTAAAACAGCGAGAGCCGGAAGCGAAGGGCGACACCAGCAACACTATGTGCGTGAAACTCCTCTCTTACCTCCTCTCTTCTCTCACTCTTCCCTCTCTCCTGCAGACCGTCGTTGGCTTATGCCTCACACAAGCGCGTAGGCAGTGGTTGTCGTCAACCATATTGCGAGAGTCCCCTTTTGTCTCCCTCTTTCGCCTTTTCTCTCTTTACTCCCCAGGGTAGTCCACGTGTAGCTCTCGCACCGTGCCCACTCCACGCTAACTCTACGCGCACTGAAGTCAGGTTGACGTCAGATTTTCCACCTGTGCACACCGTTCCCCTCATGCGCCACTCGTTACAGTCATTTCTCAGGCTCGTCGCGTACTTCAGTCTAGTTGACGTCAACATCTTCCGCCTGCTCACACGTTCCGTTCTCACACACTTCCCTTTCTATCTCGTTGACCCTTCACACTTGCCTCTTCCCTCTGCTCGGCTTCTCACCCGTCTCGCGGCCTCTGGGCGTCAACTGTCGAGAGCTGGCCTCGGGTCCCTCTTCCACTGGCTTCACCGCTCGATGGTGTTTCTAGATCTCGCCTGGTCTAATCTAGGATCTGAGGTCCGTTTCCCGGTCCCCTGCCTCACTCATTTCCCTCTCCCCACCTGAGTCCCTGTCCACGTGGGCTTGTTCCAGGTCTGCCGTGTCCATGGAGGTCTCGGTCTCATGATACGAGACCGTTACCTGCATTCTTGCCGTCACGCCGTCCCATCGGCAATGCCCCTCCACACGATCTTTCGTCTCCGTGATAGCGTACTGTAGCTTCCCATTAGTCCGCATCTCCACCTCTTTTCCTCCTTCCACATTGATCCTCAGTCTCATCTCGTCTCCCCCGTCGTAGTTAAGTATAGCCGTGATCCAAGGCCCCTCCTCGAACATGGGTTTCCATCGAATCTGGTGGTACCAGTAGTAGGGTCTATATCCATGCAAAGTCATAGCCGCGTCTTGAATAGCCAGAGTCCCGACCCCAGGAGTACGCACTTCGGATGACTTAACACCTGTCTCCACTACTCCAGCCTTTGGCCCCAGACTAACGGCACCGACGCAACGAGCTAGTTCGCAAGTACCCTCAGACTAAGAGTCGCCCAATAGCCTAGTTTTTCCTTCTTTTATAGGCTCTTACTACACAGCGATCCCCATACTCTGGACGGAGAGTTCAAGATAGCTTTAGTTTTGGCTTATCAACATCCTGTGAATCTTGAAATAATAAAATAAATTAAATTAAAGTTAAAATACAGAAAAAAGTGGAGCAATAAACTAAACATCGCTAGTCACTGCACACTCAGACCTTTCACATCTTGCCCCTGTCGTTTAATCCTGTCGCGATAATAATTGCGACCTCCAGGCAGTGGTCCCATAACGGGATACATTCCTGCGCTCTCTTTTCTTCAAAACTAGTTACTGTTTATTTTCCTAGTGGGTGCCCGCATCCGATGGCAAGGAGGGGACCTATGACCCTCCATTCGGGGTGACAAGTCTCCTACCAATGCGGCCGCGGGTCGTGCTCTTTTTGGGGTCTTACCACACGGCGACAGTTCGTAGCTCACCCACAGACAGTACGCGCAAAGTAAGCCTACTTAGATCGTGGATCACTAGCTCAAAATTCAAACCGTTGGCCTTCTCGCGAAAGGAAAGGCCAACAGGTAAAAACTTGAAATTAGAAAACTTAAGTAATAATAATAAAAATATTTATGACGATAAATGCAGAACGGTGCTTCAAATTTGTTCCTGCGCCACAGTTCCGCCTAAATAACGACGTAAGTCCACGCACAAAACTTAAAACCTAACTTTCCTTTCCTTACTTTTTCCTCTACCAGACCCCTTTGTATCTATCCCTTAACACGGCTACTTGGGTCCTACCGTGCGACTCAGACGAACAGGTCTGGAACGGATGTTATGCGAGGAATCGGGCCAGTCTAGGCCACAGGCCACCGCCTGAATAGCGTACGAGTCCACGCAGACCCCATTGTACCTAGTCTTCAATACAGCTACCAGGGCCCCACTGCGCGGAACTTAGATGCGCAGGTCTAGTACAGGTGATATACGAAAGGTTGGCCCTGCTTAGGCCACATTACCACCGCTCGAACTCAACGCCCGAACCGTTAGTCCCTCCCCTACGAAAAGACGGGTTGAAAAGAGAGGAACCGCGACAGATATCAATTGATGGACATATAATAATAGTAATAATAATAATAATTATAATAAATAACCACTTTGAGTGAGACGTAACGACGAACGACTATGGAACGTCAAGCTTTCTCAATTAGCAGCCTTCAGTTCACATAAACTAGGCTCTCAACTGTTCATTTATTTTTCTTTTCGCATTTCCGCTTTTACTTTTATTTTTTTAGCCTTGTCTTTTTATGACAGTGACCTTTGGTCTGTGTACCTGACCCATAATTTGTAGAAGGGCACTCGGCGCGCAGTAGAAAAGACTGCGTCAGTCCCTCCACTTTCGTGTCCCAGGCCGAACCCGGCTGCTACCACAGCCACAGGCCGGTTGTGCTCTGCTGTACAGCAGGGTGCCGAGCCTGCGTGGACCAATGAAAAGTCTTGCGACGCACCTTTTGCTAAGGCAACGCCAACAGGGCTGGTCCGTGCTGAGCCACATTGCAAGTACCAGGCCTACAGGGGTTCAGAAACTATCCAGTGAGCCGCGGGCCACAGAACGAAATGTTGATACCTAGCAGAGATTTTGACACACAGAGGAGGGCCGGGATACCGCGCCCTCCGACATAATACCAAACCGCACCCCAGCGTCCCCGCTGGGTCGAAGCATATCGCTTTTGAGTACAAAACCAGCACAGTAGACAACTTTCTCATGACTTTCCATTCGAGTTTCATTGTGGTACCCGCACTGTGCCCTTGCATTGTTAGTTTCCTGACTTCCTCTTTTGTGTTCACTCTCCTCTTTTGCGTCCCCCTTTTTCCACGCTCGCCTATCTTTCTCCGCGTTTGACATCTCTCTCTGCACTTGTTCCCTTCTTCTATGCTAGGTTTCTTCTCCCTGCGCTAGGCTCCTCCCTTAACGTTCATCTTCTTTCTGCGCTTACTTTTCTTCAAGCACTCATATTCTCTCTCACGTAGCATGCCACAACCTCCCATAGTCGGCGCGATTATTTTTCTTTATTTCTTTTGGTAGTCTTCCACTCCCGCTTTTTGGTTTTTTTTTTATCATTGTAGACCTCACTCACACAACCTTCCCGGGCATAGCCTTTGGCGCTAAATTTTATCCTTTATCTTCTCTTTTAACAGTCATCTCACGTGCATCATGTCCGAGGCACGCCGCGGACAGAGTAGAGGGAGAGGAGGAAGAGGAGGGAAGGCTAAGGAGGAACCGTCGGCTCGTACCCGACGCGATTACAGTTCTGAGGAGGAGGAAGACAAGCCACGAGGCTATGGCCATTCAAGATTATACCCTCGCTACCCGCTAGCAGGATGGTATGAAAGGACTCCATCTCCTGATAGGATGGAATTCCTTCGCAAGAGATTTTATGCCCGATATGGTACACCCAGTGCTTCCTCACCTCCTTACATCCCTAGGGCTCCTTCCACTCCAGCAGTAAGCAAGGCCATAGTGCCAGCTCCGCCTCCTTCTGTCCCATGCGCCGTCTCATCACTCCATCATCCCAATCACTGCATTCTCTCCAGCATCTTCTTTCTTCTCTTTCTTTTCCAGCTCGAGCTCATGGCTGTCTTTTATGCTTTATATAAGCGTGACTTCTTTTCAGCCCTTTGAATCTGGTTTTGCTCACAAAATTTTCAATCCAGTCCACTTCATAGCGTCCCAGGCTTGAGAGTTTGGCTTCCTTAGGCCAGGGACGCCGGTTCCTCGTAAACCAGGTCGCTTGTCGGCCACCAAATGAATTTAAGAAGGATTATATTTCCATTTTCTTTGCCTGCTGCTGATTTTGGCTTCTTATCATTGTGAGGTTTGTCCCCACCTTGAACTGTACAACAAAGAAAAGTTACCATGACTTTCACCTCAGCTGAAAAGGTCAAAACATCATCCGTCTGATATCACTACTTGTGTCACTCGTTCAGTCTGCCATGTTGAAGGTAGAACATATCAAACCCTCTTTTCTTTTTTCTGGCCTGGGCAAGATATCTCTCCAACTTCTCATGTGACTCAGGAGATACCAAACCCTGTCCTCTTTCTCTGATCTGAGTGAGGCGTCCCCTCAACTTCTCAGATAAGGAAAAAAACAAACAAACCCTTTTTCCTTTTCTCTGGCTTGGAGAACTTCAAATAAGTATTTGTATACCTGCAAAATCAGCAAGTCCCACAGACAACAACCATACCCCAACAAACAGACTCTCTGACAACCAGCAGTCAAGCATTAACAAATTGAAATAAATCCCATAAATAAAATAGTAAATTAAAAATAATAATTAACACATAACAACTCCTCATACCCAGAATTTATTGATTGTCTTGGTTTCGGCTTACCACTGGCCAGGAATGCCAGACGTCCCGTCAGTCTGACATACCTCATTCGGCCCGCCTCAGGCCAGGACTAGTCAGATCATTTGCCTTGACAGCCCTTTTGACCTTCCTCCAGGTCAGGACCAATCATACCCACTACTCGAGTATGACAGCCCTTCGGCACTCTCGCCAGGACACCCAGACTATTGCGGGTCTGGACATCCTATGACAGCAGACGTCCCGTCAGTCAAACTGTCCCGAATCCGGATTTGACCACTGCAGTCAGGGACCGGCTCACCTACCAGTTTTTGGCCAAGGGCGCTAGCTGCCCCGCCCAGATTTATGAATGTGGGACCCGGTCTAACCACAGTTCGAGGCTCTGGCTAACCTCACCGGATGGCATCCTCTGACTGCGGTAGGGTTCCAGCTGACCCCTTTCGACCTCATAGGCCAGACTCCTGGAGCCTTAGCCTCAGTCGACTATGGAATTCGACACTCGCGTCGGGGACCTGCTTACCCCACCAGATTGCAACCTACTGCGGTAAGGCTCTGGCTGGCCTCGATAATCAATGCACCCTCAGGTTAAAGAAGAAGAACCCCAGGCACAGACGATCAGACAAGCATATCATAACCCACAAGCAGACTGCCCACGCCCCATAACAGGACAAACATTTCTCAAGAGACGTCCCGTCAGTCTCAAGAGGCACTGAACGGCAACATGATAATCAACTCCAAGCCCTTACAGGCGACCTCCTTCCAGTCTCAAGAAGGATGCTTAGTGTTAGCCCCAGAGAGGTTCCTTCCCTCAGCTGGGAATTTTCTTTTCTTTTCCAAGAGACGTCCCATCAGTCTCAAGGAAGTACTCGAATGCTGATCTCAGAGAGGTCCCTTCCCTCATCCGAGCGAAGACATACCCTTAGCCAAAGGCACGAAGTCCCTCTACTGACCACTCTCAGTCAAGTAAAGCTGAACTTCTTTATGCCTCTCTTCATCTGAATCTCTTGTGTGGACATTTCACTGAGAGACACGAAGTTCTGCGAATAACTCTTGATCAGACAGAACTGAACTTCTCTATACCCACCATGCTCTTCTCTTTATCTTAGGATAGTACTGATCATGTCTTTTTATGTGACACAGCCATGAGCTTCTCAAATCTTTGACATTGTGTCAATACTTACGAAACTGATTTTACAGTTATTCCCCACCCTCAGGGACTTGACACTCATAGAACGACTGCAGCGCTGCATCAAAGATATAGTCTCATTAACTTAGTTGCTTGTTGAAATAGATAATGAAATGACTTGCTAAAAACTTAAATATTGAAACTGAGATGCTGAAACTGAAGTACTGAAACTGAAATACTGAAACTGAAATGTTGAATTGACTATGCAAGAAAGATCATTGTCTGCTGATAACTGAGCGTCACTGTCTCAGTATCATACTGTACTCTTTCCCAGTCCTCTATGACCGTTCTCTTACTTGGATGGTTGACTTCTCTTTCCTCTCTTTGGAGTCACTATAGGGATCAAGTCAGGGTCCCTTACGAAGTCTTGACCCTGATACCATGTTATGAACCCTGGATCCATCCATTTCCAAAATCTCATAAACCTTGCCTTCTGCCTCTCC